CCGCGCCCCCCCCCCCCCATTTTAATACTGCTAGATACGCCACTGTATCTCAAACAAATCATATATAATATTCGAAGATTAACTTGGAAGATTTTTCAATCGTAACAGTGTTTTAATCAATTACAGGTCTTGCAATGTGTTGTTGCCCCATCTGTTACCAGTGCTATCTCTCCGACAAGCTTGGTGAATCGTTTTGTGCGCCATGCTGCGTCCCTGGTTTCATGGGAACATTGAGGTCTGTGACGAGGACAAAGTACAACATTCCAGTTAGTATTGGTAACTTTATATTCACCTACATAACAGTACAGTAAAAGAACTAAATATTATTTACGAACCAGTAACATGAAAGTCACTCAATATACAAAATGCAGAAAACAAACCTACATTCACTTCATTATGTAGCAATATCATAAATATTTGAATATAAAACTTTACCACAAGATAGTATTTTAGATTTCCTATATTAAAAGTAGGCTTTTAGCTTTTTTAATAGATCTTGTCTTTTCATTCATGGCATATCGCTTTGATCTCTTTCACGTGTAAGTACTAGTTTTGTTAACTGCATAATGTAGTGTTATATTAATTTCCTCCAATAGGATTGGAATTACCAAGAAAAGCCGCAGTGGCACAGTTGGGGTGTCTGCATAGCATAAAAAATATATATAATATATATATATATATATATATATATATATATATATATATATATATATCACTTGCCACTGATGAAGGACTATAAGCCTGTCTCTTATACACATCTAGATGTGTATAAGAGACAGCAATTGTTGTTTCTATGATTATATTTCAGGGAAGCATTTTATCTGATTGCTGCACTGCATGCTGGTGTTCTTGCTGTTCTGCAACTCAGATTAGTCGTCATCATGACTTCATCACGCGTCAACCGATACAGTAATCGCGCGACTGCAACAACTACGCGACACACAGTATGGAGTTGCCGTGTCCATAGACTCTCAGACTGACATGGCTATGGTCTATCATTACATTTTTATTAGTGATATAAAATACTAATATCATATATTATGTAAACGTATTATTATAGGTTTATATGTTTATAGGTTTAGTCTTTTTTCAATTACTTTATATTTTATACGTATGACCTAGCTATCAATAGAACGCCAAAATATTCTTACTGAATACTAAATACTGAAATAATTTATTGTCCAACAAAAAGAAGAAAATGCATTTGAAAACTGGCAAAAATTTAAAATCACAACACAGAATATTAAAATATGAAATTAATGATTTTGCCAGCTTCTAGTCGCCTCTATTATTCTAACAATTTCAAACAATATCTTGCAGGCCTATCTTGTTTTTTCTGAAAAATAGCTTGAATACTAATTTATATAAAGCTACGGACATAACATATAAACAAAGTGTAAATGATACTGCAGATTGATTATTAAAATTGTGACACATTGAAATTAGTTATTCCTACTTCCTGTTATTAGCCCTTATGGCAATGAATTTGTATTTTCATTCGTCTTAATTTTTCTATACTATGATTGGTTAATTATGTCATATTGTTCGCTTACCTATTAGGCCTATTACTCTATACACCTGGTGATAGGCAAATCTCAATTAAAAAATGTGTTGGAAAAAAAGGTTTAGGGAAGGTTGTTTCCTTTAAAATCTTTTGTTTCTAACAGTAACACAGACAGTATATTTATGTTTGACAAAGTTTGACCTTCTTGCTCATTTTGAGTCATGGATGTTGTTTCAAACTTTTTTTCAAAATGTGCACACAGTATGCAAACTGCACAAGGTTTCAGCAATTGTGGTAAAATGTGACATTTAAATTTATTTATCAATACTGATATTAACTTATTAGATTATGATTAAACATAATGAATTGTTTGGGAGATAGGTTGGACGATCACCTTGGAGCCAACAGCCAATCATGCTTTTAGGTTTAGTTTTATCAAGGTAATTCAACAGAAAGACGCACATCTCCGCTCTCGAACATTGCGCGTGCGTACAGTTCTTTGATCTTTAATGTGGCATCGACAATCCGATACTAGTTGCGATTACAGCCGTCAATTATTAGTCTATGCATGCCATTCGTTTTATGGTGTTAGTTTTTATTTTATTAATTTTGGGTACTTCGCAATATCTGTTACATCTGATTTTTTTTACCGCGAGCTTGTTAAATGCTTCTACTGCAATTTGATTTGTGAAAATTGACCAAGAAAATGAAAAGTTATAACAATTTAAAATTTACGAATTTTATAAAATTTCATGTTCTTATGTAACATTAATCTGTCATTTTGACAATGTTGGCATAAGGTGCCGAAGACGAACATTTGAGTATATACAGAACATTTATTAATTTTTTCTGCGAAGTGAGTCTCATGAACGACAATTCACCACAATTTTGGTAAAATTAATGTTGAAATGAAGAATATATTTCAGTCTAATTTAGTGCAAAATATCATTAGGCCTTTGTAATCACCGCACGACGCGCGATTATCATGGCAACTAACACGCGCGCGAGTAAATCGTCACGTACGCTGACGGTTTATGGTCTGGTTGCTATATGGTTTTTCTGACGTTCAGCGTGCAGGGACGCACGTGCGCCTAGAATGTCGATGCCAGAGTTATAACCTTTGATGTTCCGAGATGTGCGTCCTTCTGTTTAATTGCCTTGGTTTTATAGGACCACATCTTTTTTTTTATTACCACTTTCAAAATATCAAAGAGCTCAATCACCAATCGTATACAAATCCAACTATTATTATTATTATTATTATTTTTAATTTTGATGTTTCAAGCGATCAAAAAATTTCCAATGATAAGCCCTTCTGCTGGGCTATTTCAGGCCAACCTCCCTAGCCTTTACTCCTTGCACTGTTGCAAATTGTGCAAGATTTCCTTGCACAATTTGCAAACTGTGCAAGGAAGAGCAAATTGTGCAAATAATAATAATGGTCATTTATACAGCACCTTACAAAGCACTTGTATCATACACAAATACGTAAATCTGCTTAAAAATACAGGCAAATTGAAACTACAGTATTTTTTTTTTATTAAATAATAGCGATAAATTTAAATGGCAAAACAATTTGCAAAAAATCCGGCGCAATCCCGGACCCCTACCTAGGTGACTGGGCAAAGGAATGGGAAACACACTTGCCCTGCCACAGACAACCGGGTGCTCAGAGACAGTTCCCAGAATAATACAGAGCCAATCATTGAAATAATGTATGCATTTTCAGGGTACGTTTAAATGTATCTAATGATGTGCAACACTTCACAGTCTCGGGCAATTGATTCCACTCTTGCAAAAAGGAGTGGTGAATTGCAGATGATGAAGAGCACTTCGTGCGCGCATGAGTGCAACGCACCAAGCAGTCAGTGATATATTGCGGACACATGTTATGCAGTGTCAAACAGCTCGAACTGTGCACAACTGACAGGTATAACATTTTAATGTACATTATCAGTTAATCAATGCAAGTACAGTTGAGCTTGCCTAATTCGAACCCAAAATGGCATTGAAAAATTGTTTGACTTGGATTAAAATTGACTTGCACATCGTTAATGGAAAACACAACAATTTGGCATGTAAAATAAAATCAACTTAGAAATTATTTGAGTTAGGCAAAGTCGGCAAGTTTAACTGTAATTCTAACTGCTAAACTTTGGATAATAGATCATACTGTAATTTTGGAAAGACACTCTGAAATCATTCAGACCTCAAAGACTTGTGCAACAATAATGTCATCAGTATATATATTACTCTCATCCGGTTCAGGCATCTCAACTGGTGTGAAAGAGGTTCCAAAATGCTTCTCTTTCAGATGCCTGGTGAGACCATGCTTGTGTTTGTAGCCGAGACCACAATGGTGACAATAGTACCGTTTGTTGTCAGAATGCTTGCGATAGTGACGTTTAAGCTCGCTCTGACGCCGACCAATCCAAGAGCATTGATCACATTTGAATTCCATCTGCTCTTTTGTGATATGTTCGCTTTTGTGGCTGTAAAGACTGAACCTTGTTCGGCCCACGTAGCTACACTTATCACAAGGGTATTGTCGTTTATCATTGTGTGTCTGTTGGTGATACTTTAAAGCTGTTGACAACTTGAATAATTTACCGCAGGTTTCGCAAATGTACTCCTTTTTTTCTCGATGTATATACCTTTCATGTGTGCGTATAGCATTTGGATCTTTTGACTTGTAAGTGCACATAGAACAAATAAGATACGGTAGATCTTCGCTAAAGTGTTTCATTTTCTTATGTCTTTTTATACTGGCCCGCCAGAATGTCTGAAAATCGCAGAGATCACATGAAAATTTCATGCCTTGGTGAATGATTGCATGCCTACGAAGCCCCCGCTTTGTCTTAAATGCTTTACCACACTCATTGCACTGCTGCTTGCGTTCATCGAAATGGGTCGCATAATGTTCATTGTACCTATAATTTTTATCAAAAGTCCTGTTGCAGAGGTCACAGACGATAACCTTTGGAATTGATGGTGGACGAGGTTTTATTTTGCAGTTGATGCCTTTTGGGCGCCCTCTTTCCGTTCGCCCGCATTTGCCATTCTGGCGATGCCTACGAAGTGATCTCTTTGAATTAAACCTAGCATTACAGACAAGACAATAAACGATCTTCAAATCATTTGTATTCTTTTTGTGCTGTGCGCCAACATGTATTTTTAAGGAATGATTACTATGGGATTGAAAATTGCACAGTGAACATTTCAGTGTTCGACGGCCACCAGCTGTTTGAGATACTTTGCATTCTGGATTAGATTTGTGATGTTGCTGTAATGTCCTCTCACTTCCAAAGTTGAGTTTGCAAGCCTGGCATGGGTATCGTACTTTCTCAGCTATAGGTAGGTGTTCATGAGAGTGTGTCCAATGTTCAATCCAGCTACCACATATGTACCCACATTGCTTGCAAGTAACTCCTTCGCTCTTATTTGATGGCGACTCTGACCTAGAAGGTGGCAGCAGAGAGCTTTGTCCCTCACTCATTATAGAATGTTTTTCACTACTTTCGTCAACATTAACATCAACACTAGTAGTGTCTGACTGACTGGTGTTAAGCAAATCAAATTTTGAAGATTCTATAGAACCTAGAAGACTATATGACAAGTTGCCATTAAAACTAGATTTCTCGCTACTGGAATTATTCAATTTCATAAGAGTCTCTGAGTCCAAGATTAGTTTCTGATTCCTGCAAGCATTTTCTGGTTTAAAATTGGCAGGTTTTTTCCATGGTTTTCGAGTCCTATTTGCATGTGGTACCACAGAATCACCCTGGGTTTGTTTAGTATAATGTCTTGTCAGTGGAGATATAGATTTCATATTGTTTGTATCATCAGGTAGTCTTTTCTTTATGGTTTCAGATTTCTTACTCTCTGTTATGTCGTCAGCATTCTTCAGAGTTTCTTTACGTTTTAATTCCTTGACATTATGACAAGCTGCATTCCACTCACGTTCGTGTGCCTGCATCATATGTGCTACAATGACAGGTCGGTTCAAGGAGCTGAACTGATTCTGGCAGAGCTTGCAACGATAAAACTGAATGAGAATAATGTCGATATTGGTCTCAGCAGCTAACCAATCACTGCTGCTCACACTATTAGGAAGTATCATTGGCTGGGTCATTGCCGAAGCCATGGCTCAATCAGCAAGCCTTAAATCTGGAAAGAAATTAAATATATTATTTAATAATTTGGTTTATAATTATAATTTCACTGTATAACATGAGATGGTGCATAGCTAAGGGATTGGATAGAAGAACCCAAATAAATTTTATTGTGTTGGATCATTTACATTTGAAAAAATTGGCATAGGGGCTAGGAATATATCATACTCATACTGAACTTTCTAGTATTAGTAGTAGCAGCAGCAATCCTTTTCATAAGACAAACATACGTGAAAGCAAATCTCATGGTTTTTTTTTAAACACAATCACAATCCAAGCTTCATATCATATGTACTGTATCCCGAAACATAGATAGTACAGTACGCTTTACCAGGAGACACAGACCTACTTAGCTACAAGGAAGGGCTAAGTCATAGCCTGAACCTGCCTCCTCAGAACTTAGCCCTTGCTGGGACCAGGTGTCTCCAGGTGGTACTGGCTGTCAGGGATGTTTTTTTAGTGCTGCTAGGCCTAGCTAGGGTAGGAAGAATGGCTAACTAAAGCTTAACTAGCCTAGCCTAGGCTAGGGCTCCCTTGCCTTAACAAACCAGACAAGCGGGAATTTTAAGACGCTATTCTCATTTGATAATAAAATCAAACTGTGTGCTATCTCGTATTAAAATAATGCCATGTATCTATATAATAATGTATCATAAATATGCAATTTCTACCTTTGTGCCGAAACGAACGTCAACGTCAAATCCCCAACACATCATATCGATCAGCCGTTCTTATGTAATAGCGCCCTCATTATTTTATGGCAATTCTAATAACTCTCTAAGGTTAAAAGGTATTAAACTCTACTAAAAATAGCGTTTCATTGAGAAGGTTATTAATAATTTTAATATCTAATTGATAATAAACTGGTGATAATCTGATCATCTTACAATGTACAATTTATTAAATTACGTGTAAAATAATATGCCTACCTATATAAACTGGATCCTAGTTCTGGAATTATATCTCATTATTGAGAACAATTTATTTTTGCACTAATGATGTTTCACACTATACTTTTGCTGGGTTTAGGAACTGGTCAAACAGTGTGGATTTAGACTTTTTGCTCCAAGATTTTGTGGTGTAAACGGTTTTGACTGGCTAATCGCATGATTAATTTAATCAAATTTGGCTAAAAGATTCTTAAATCAAACTGTACTATTAAGAACAAATATCGTACGCCTCTACGCGAAAAATAAAAACTGTTTGATTGAATTAGTTATTCATATGACCCGCCCATTTAGCCACATAGTCACGGAGCCCGTAAACAAATACTGAGTATATTAATGTTCAATGTTTATTTTCCACTAGGTTCAAATGCATAATTGTTATGACTTGATCTTGGCCGATGAACTTTTCTAAATATTTTAGCCAAAAAATATATATTTAAAATGTCATGCATCTTTCCAGTAAAATGTGGGCTCAATTGAATAATTGTTTATGACTTGACCGATAAACATTTTAACTTAAAATTGTTTTAATATGATTGAGAATACCTTATGGATCATCCCAGTGAAATTTGGGTGCAATTAGGGCATGTTGATAATCTGACCCTTGACACGTGGATGGCCTTTGAGAGTAGTAAAAATCACTTTATTTGTCAATACATTAACATTCATCAGTACAAAAATAGTCTCGAAATATAAAATATTTTTTTTATACGAAACTTATAACAAAATTGGCAAAGAAAGGAATAGAACCCTAGGTCTTGCCTTTAAAGTGGGACCAGCAAGGGAAATAAAGACAGAACACAGACAGGTGACAGGACGAGAACAGGAGACAGGAGGACAAACACAAGAAACAACAGAGAAAAAATCACAAGTTGAGATATGGTGGGTCGATCAACGTGAGTTCATCTCTGGCGTAAAAAATGCTGAAGGACCATGGAAAGTTTAGAAATATTGTTTTAGAAGGTTTTTGAATGAAACAGGTTTATTGAGGAGGTATTTTGTGGACAAATTAGCGAATGTCCCAAATGACGCCCTGTAATAGATAGGCTGTACTTTTACGGTGAAGCGCAAAGTGAGTAATTTTAGTTTAAACATGCTGGTGCTCAAAATTAATAGTTTTATTTTTGTAATGTTACTTACAATGTTTTTTTTTTTTTTGTTTTTTTTTTTTTTTTGTAATACGTCCATAATAGGCAAATATTTCCATGCAACAACTACGGACATCGCGTTCAAGGATGGCGCCAGGATTTGTACGACGGAGGGTCAGATATCCCCGATGGTTGGGGGTGGATCGATGTTCCCGACGAGCAAAGTGGCCGTGGTCGGGCGTCTCTCAAATTCTTTTGAAAGAGGTCCAAAGGGAAACAAATTTAGGAGTTTTAGTTAGTCGAATTTAGGGTGTACGGTAAGAATGGCCCTGGAAAAAATGGCCCCGGAAAAAATGGCCCCGGTAAAAATGGCCCCAAATGACAGGTAGGTAAAAATGGCCCCAATAATAAAATTCTGTATTAAAACTGATTTTTTTAAAATCATTATATGCATTTTTTTAAACTGAAATAATTTAGTTTTTAAAAGGAAGCTAACATCAAATAAATTGCCATTTACATTTTACTTTAGCAGAAATTACATATTCAATGATATATTCAAAGATAAAAAAAATGAATAACACTTTTTATTTTTTTTTCCATTTAAATGTTAAAAATAGCAACAACATAATCAATAAATCAACATAAATCATGCATTTATTAATACTGAAATAATTTATTTGTGGCCAATTTCAAGGAACGGAATCACAATTTTCCAGAAATTCAATCCGGGTATTGGTAAACCCCACAAACAATGAGTTTATATGAACATCAAATTATTATTATTTTTTTTTTATTTTTTTTAGAAAAAGAGCGTTCTACAATCATAATTAAAGGGTTTGGATGGAGTTTGCAGTGTGTTTGGAGGATTGTGGTGTATTTGCAAGTATTTTTTCACCAAAAAAAATCAACATTTTAACCAAAAAATTATATAGGTTCTTATAAATATTAAATTTTCTTATTGATATACCAAGTGAGTCAATCACAATTGAATTGTTTGGTTTTCTACCGTGTGTTTTAGGAGGTTTTGGGGATTTAGCAATACCATTTGATCCTACCATTACTTTACCCTCGCAATTACACGCCATTTTAATTCTTAGCATACAGTGCCATATTTACATAACTATGTACCGTATATAATATAGTATCTCAGTTTACATTATTTAGTATAGTTTTAGGCACTTAAATTTACTTGGCGGGGAGTAGAAACCAAGTATGCAATTAAATAAGNAGTTGCTTAAATAAATGTATTCCTAATTATTCAGTTTACTTTAAAAACAATATTTGATTAACAAATACTTCTTTGAAGTAACTCTAAGCAGAAAATTTGTTGAAGTAAAGTAAGCCTCCCGTTTCCCATACATGAACTTGTCATTCAAACACACAATTGATCCACATGCTTTAACTACTGTTTATAACATGTAAAGTTATTTCATTTACTTAACATGTGAATTTTGTGGTTATCTATGAGTTGCATATTTGGTAGTTGAAGTACTGTATGTATGTCATTCCTCTACTTTGTTAGTAGAATAACGTTTTTAAAACTTATTTCAATAATCAAAAAATGTTCAATGGCCGTTGTTTTCTGATAATCTCTCAGTACATTATTTGCATCTGTTGTGTAACTGTATTTGTTATTGATTCAATTCTTGCTTATTACAGTATTTAAATATTTGAAGATTAAAAAAAATATCATTTCTATTACTGAATTTTTTCTTTGAGGCCATTTTTACCTACTTGTCATTTGGGGCCATTTTTACAAGAAAAATAAAAACTCCAATAACAGTTTGGAAAAAAATTTACCAACAACCAACACTTTTCTCATACAAAAAACGAACTTATAACCAAGCTTATTTAATTAGCTTATAAAAGCACACATAAATGAAAAAAGGAACACGATTTTAATCTCCTCGGGGGCATTTGAATACTTATTTCTATTAACTTTATTTTTATTCCTTTTGTCTATATCTTTTACCATCAGTTTAGTATATCTATTGAATTGAAAAAAAGAACGTTAAAATTGAAAAATACAATGCGAGGATACTTCGTTTGTTAGGCGGCTAAAATACAGTCAGTTAAGAGACAATTCGTTTAAAACATTCGATTATTATTCCTAGTGGAGCAACGCCAAGGCCGATAATTACATAAGACTTCCTGAGCTGACTATTTTTACTAAGTGTATTTACACTGACAAGCCCACAAAATGTTGAAGATAATTGAAGAATTATACGAGGATACAAAAAACAGCTGTGATTCTCAAAATAAAGTTAAGCGGGGAAGCGGGCTGGAAACCCTTGACAAAACCGACGCCAACTATAGAATGCATAACGGCAATATCATCATGATATTTTAGAATTAG